GATGAGCCTATTTCTTAAAATTGCATGGCATCAACCTACTTGAGAACTAAACAGAGATATTTTGTACGAAGCGAGTACTACGGCATCTGATACGCGACATACTCTGAATATGCTAGAACTTGTCTACAAATGTAGTGTAGGATACTGTCTGGCCAGATGGAGTGACGATCTGCGAAAGGCTGTTGTAAACCTGGCGAAACGGCACACCTTAGGAAAGACCTATGTCTAGTCGTAGATTGCGATAGGCTGATAATGTCGCAGCTTTCCTTTTATATGTTTTATAAATTAAATAATTATAACTTTTTATTGAAATAAATCGATCTCAAGAGTTTGTGGAATTACATCTATTTGCCAAGTTTTATTGAAATCGCTTGACGGAAAGTGGGTTAAACCCAACAAACCGGATTCATTCCCTAATTTAACACTTTTAGAGGTGGAATATTTCCTTCAAATTTGAATGGGATCACTGCTGAAGTATCTATCCTCTTTCCAACAAAAAAGAATCATCGAAATTCGTTCCCAAAAGTCGGAGTAATCGCGTAACATGCACACACAAAAAAAAATCAATCGAATTGAGAGCCGCCTCCGGTTAAAAAAGAGCGTCTTCTTGTAACTGAAAATACAAAAAACTAAATCGTTAACGAATCAAATTTTAGTGCCCATATAGCGAGTATATGAAAAAAAGAAATATGTGTTCGCTATATCGCAAGTTGTCAAACTTTACGAGAGAATTAATAACATTTCGAGTGAGGCCATCAATGGGTATTGCAGCGTTCTGTCGCGCGGCAGGTCATCGCAATAATAAAAGGCTTTATATTCGCCCCATACAAGCTGTAATTGAAAAATGTACGTAATCATACGCTGTTGTAGCGTATTCCATTTTGTTAGACTGCTACCGATGTAGTACATTACTGTATGTATATGTTAACATTTATATCATAATTGATTAATATAGGTAGGTATATATTTTAAAGTAAATAAGGTATAACAGTAAACACTGCAATAACACTATATACACATAAGACATTTTTACGTAATTTAATTTATTTTCACTTCGGGACGCATACGTCTACCGCTGACTTGGGCCCTACCCCATTGAAAACCAGCGGCAGCATCACAGCCTAGTCTTGGTTGTGACTTTATCTGAATGGGTTCCTTTTGCACACATATGCCACAGCTGCACACATGTCAGTATAGTATTATGTAACTTGTTTAAATATTGTTACGCTGTTTTTTGTGTTATTTCTGTTTTTATTTATATTAGCCTCATTTTCTTTTATGTAGCGTTGCAATAAATAAATAAATAAAACAAAAATTAAAAGAAAATACTTTTTGTCTACCTTACAACTTCTTTTGCCTCGATGAAAAGGAAAACTGGTGTCTTTTGACTTAAATTTAATTCAATTTAATTATACGTAATATCTTAAATTCTTATTTAAATCTAAGACATAATATTTAACCTTATATTGACCCTTATTGTGTAACCTAACCCACGACTAAATTAACTCCGCGGAAGACATCTGTTATAGAACCTTTTCTTGTAGTCTTTATTATTGTTATATACAAATCTCAACATTTGTTTTGCGGGTAATTTAGATGGGTCTCGGCTTAAATGTGAGCTTTCAATCCTTCTTCAAGCCACAGCGGATTTGCGAAATTTCTGTGTTTGTACAGGTGACATAATATTAAGAATTATCATGTCACCTGTAAAGCATTAGTAAACATTTGCTTGCATCAAAATTAAAGTTTTTATTGCCGCCGACTGCAAATTTGAGCTGGTGATTAATTCTATGACACAACAAACTCATCAAGGAATGAGCACAAAACAATTAGAGATGCATCTATGAACGCTTCATTAATAAAATTGCAAATCTTCAATATGGGAACTGCAGTAGTTTTTATCGCCATCGTACATAAATGTATAAAAGGTAGATCGACTATACGAAGTGAGTAGCGTTGTTTCGCTGTTATACGACAATGTAGGTACATCAATTTTGCTGGTACGAATTGAAATAGATATCTAAAAATACAAAGTTACGAAAATGGCGCTTGAAATTGATATGAGTCGTACATATTAACGTAAGTTGCTACATAAAACCATGAAGCTTTTTCAATAAAAAAAATTTTGCGCTGAAAACAGAAATTTTGCTTTGGTTGTAAAACTCAAGTTGTTTATTATGATGGCTACAGTTTTTATGGTAAGAGAGAAGCAAGTTTTATGACTTGCCTAGGTAAAGCTGAGTATACATGACCGTATATATCAAGGTTTTATAACAATATGGCGAGTAGAATTGAAATAGCGAAGACAAGACTACTATTAGATGGTTACAAAGTTTATATTTTGTCATACAATACGCTCATGGACGGGTATAAGACAGATTGCAAACAGGTTTGGAGGAAAGTTAAGTTGGGTCAGATAAAATGATCACCGGTGGAAGAGGGACTTGAAGATTTAACTCATAATCTACAGGGTAGTAGCAGTACAGCTTCTTGTGAAAGAGTTCGTTCAGAGAAGTACTGCCACCTTATCTATTTCTGCCGCCAAGCAGAATGTGCTGGTGAAATTACAGGCACATCGGACTTGTTAACTAATGTCTCAGGATGCGAGCGCAGTGGTAATGCCCCTTAGATCTTTCTGAGTTAAAGCTCTGAGTTGCACTGCAACTGCTACGGACAGGCGTCTCGTCTAACACCAGGCGCACGACTTGTTCGTTCCGTTACTTTGTAAAACAACGAAGTTTACTGCTATAATCTCGCAGTCGACTAATAAAATTGGTAAACAAATTAGTTTAAAAGATTTTAAGGCGATGTTGCTACGATTCAAATCCAAAAGGCGAAAAATTTGACAGTTATGAAATTTTGAGAACACGAGTTCTTTACACGTTTTACATAACTTTTATAAGAAATACGACGACTATTCTTCTTACCGCATCTTTTGGGGGAAGAGAAACGTTAGCACAATTTGCACGTTTTCAGCAAATACATCGTAAATATTGAATTTAGCGTAATTATTGTTAGAACATGTAAAAGTGATAAACAAAGGCGAGCTTAGTGTAATTTAAAAATCTTCTAAGATCTTATCTGTTATTCCTAGAGCTCAAAATACTTGACTCAAATTAAATTATATTCCCCGCCTGACAATTAAAAAAAAACATACAAATATTCAATTAAATTTTTATTGAATTAATATTCAACTATTTTTTTGTTAAAGTACTCCACTAGTTTGTGGAGTTACACTTAGAAAAAATTCCTTCTATCCGACCGGATTCGAACCGACTTCTCCTAGCAAACCGTGACAGACGCCAACTAAGCCGCGGAACGAACCAGCGGACCTCACGAATTCTTCTATGTACTTGTTGTCGGATCTTTGTATTTGGTTTTCAACGACTTTTTACGAAATACTTTCATAGATTTCTCATAGATGGCGCTACGACTAAAAAGTCGTTGAAAATCAAATACAAAGAACCGACAACAAGCACATAGAAGAATTCGTGAATTTCGTTCCGTGACTTAGTTGGCATAGCGTCTGGTACGGTTTCCTGGGAGACGTCGGTTCGAATCCGGTCGGATCGAAGGATGTTTTTCTAAATGTTCGTATTCTTTGTATTAATAATTACATACAAATACTCATTATTATTACAAAAAACAAAAGACCGTGTTGAATAGGCAATGTTATTGCAAGATATCGAATTTTTTCAAGCATATTTGACGTCCCTTTACATTTCAATCTGTTGTAGGTGTTCCGTAGTTTGTGCCATTATGTGATATGACAATATTTAATTAGGACAATAGGATCTCTCGATTGGCATTTTTTTAGAGAGGTATCGTGAAAAAAAGTCCAATGTCCGCAATATCGCAGACCCGACCCACTGTGCGTCGTTCAGTTAAGATAAATATAATGTACAGGCTCAAGAGCACGCCAAGCTTTTTACTTATGACTTAAATCCAACTCTATATCACTTACGATAAGAACGGTCCAAAGTACAAAGTGTCAAGCTTGATGTGCTCTTGACTGTATGTGTGTGTTGTCTGTCCCCAATAACGTCAATTTTTAATGTTCTCTTAAGTGATTTCCGAATCCCGTAATGGTCCAGAACCTAAAAAATATTACACTACGATCTTGTGCTCTCTCGCCCATCTACATTTTAACCAAAGAATTTAAAAAAATGTATTGGAAGCAACGCTCACAAAATGTCTTCAAGAGTCAATTTTCTTCTTCATATTTTCTTTTTTCCTTATATTAATATTTCCAGTGAAACAAATTGTCCGTTCGTGTACACTAAATAGCACGCAAATGTAAAAAATTTAATTACAGTCATAAAGTTACTTCGTTATAAATTAGTAAATTTGATAGTGTATCTATGAATATAGTTTAGTATAGTCACATGATTACTAGTAAATATATATTTGAATTCTTTATATTTTTCATTTCTGTATTTGGCTGCTTTAAAAGCTATTACGGTAGTATGAGATTCCACATTTATAAGTCATCCCACAATTGAACAGGTACTGTCTCTTGAACCAATTTCATCCACAGTCAAAGGTACCTTATGGTGAATATTTCATTATCATCATCATCATCACCACTTTTGTACGTCTCACTGCTGGGCACGGGTCTCCTCTCAGGCAAAGGTTTAGGCCATATTTCGCCACGCTGGTTTAATGCGTGTTGGTGCTTTTTCGACGTGCAGGTTCCTTCACAGAAAAGCTCATGGTAAATTTCGAATTAAATTTCGTACATAAATTTCGAAAACTCTGAGGTGCGAGCCCGGATTCGAATCCACGTCCTCTGCATGAGAGGCGATAGATCAAACAGATATTTACTGGAGGCTGAATGAATAGCGACTAAGTATTTGATTCGTTTGTCCGTGGACAGACTCCATTAATCAATTTATTAAAGTGTAATAGTGAATAGTACGGTTTTCAGTGACAAGGTTCTAAAGTTTTTAAAATACAATTTATTTTGCTACCATGTTACTAATCATTATGCTTGTTCACAGCGTACGGCAATCTGGGCAGCGTGCTAACCGCACAGGGTCGGACTGCGGAGGCCGAGGTCGCCTTCGAGAAGGCCCTTAAACATCGACCTAACATGGCCGATGTCCATTACAATTTGTAAGTATTTATTTATATTTTATATAACATAGTAGTCAGTAAGCAAATCAAATAAGTACATTCTATTTATTCAAATAACCAATACATATTTCAATATAAATCTTGAGGTGTTTTGTGCTTTAACATCACGTTTTTAGCATATTGATGACATGCATTATATTGTTGAGACCACTTAATTCGCGTCACTTGTAGCAGCTATCTATATCTTTCAGCGTGCATGTGTAAGGGAACGTAAACTACGATACCAAGTCGTTTGAATTGTACCGCAAAAATCGTCCAGATTGGAATCATCTGTATGTCCCACGGAAGAAAAAAAACAATGGAAGTACCTTAACCCTCGATTACTATCAGAACCGATGTCGTCAAAACTCACACATTCTTAATTTGAAACACTACAAAATTTTGATATCGATTGGTCGTAGTTTCAAATTTAAAAAGTTTTATATAACTTTTTATTGTTGATATAATTTAAATTTTACCCTGTTGGCATATCGTTGAAAGTTCAATACCATCAATACCTATTATTGTAAGTTACGACGTTTTGATATTACATTGAAATTTGAATCAATGTGCTGCCATCTAGAGGTTAGTTGCTGAACGACGACGAATTGGAGTTATTAATTTAGTTCTTAAAAAAAAGCGTCTATATTGCAGCTTACTTCCGTAAGCTTTACTTCCGTTTCTTGTAACAAAAAATATTTCGATAAACAGAAAATTAACCAAAATAAGACTTTTAGATAATATGGAATACCACCACGGGTAATATTTTTGGTGTGGCTATTATTTTTAACCGACTTCAAAAAAGGAGGTTTTTTGTATGTATGTTACGCGATAACTCCGGTATTTGTGAACCGATTTTCATGATTCTTTTTTTGTTGGAAAGGGGGTACTTCCATAGTGATCCCATTTCATTTGGAAGAAAATCATCCATATTTAAGGGTGACTGTTCACGCATGAAGCTTCATTTTTATAAATAGCGCGTAACTTTAATTTAGGAGCAATTATTTGAATGGTTGATTTTGTTATTTCTCTTATATTTTCTTTGTGATTTGTTTTACTCTCAATATACTTTGTGTGGTGAGAACCGATTATTATTATCTCCAGTGTCAAGTCCTGTATAGTGACGAAATAGGGGAAATTTCAATAAAACTTAGCAAATAGACGTAATTCCACGTACGTTTGAGGTCGGTTTTTTTAGTACTCTGTACTGAGATTATTGCACTCCAAAACAGCACAGTATGTAACAGTATTTTTCTAGGATTTTACAGCACAAAAGAATGACACAACTATACCATACAAAGCGAAAATGGCGGACTGAGCTCAAGTAGATTTTTCGAGACCTATAGTTAGCACGTATCGGATGCTAACGAACCATTTCTACTGTATTTAGTGTTCTGTAGTATGTCCGGGACCTAGACATGTTGTTTTTGCTGGGCCATGCAGGAAGGTGACCAGCAGTCTAAAGGTCATTAATCGCAAACGGTTTTTCATCGTAGATAACAAACTTGTGTCCTGCTCATATCTTATAGTTTTGGTTGTTTATGACTTGTGTGTTTTGCGATTGAGGATGTCATTAGTGACATTTCTATTTTATTTATTTATTTATTATTAAAATGCTTAATAATAATTCATTAAACTAAAAATTAGTTCGTGTAGAAACTGTACCCGCCAACAAAAACCAGCAATTTTTTAATTTGGTTTACCAACAGCTATTGGGCATTGATTTGTGCTTTTAAATTTAATGCTAATTACAATAAAATATTAAAATTCTTTATTGTAACACCGAAAAGGAAACAAATACCAATACAATTAAATTAAAAATTAGCGGCAATACAATGGGCGGTCTTATCGCTTTAAGCGATTTTTACCAGACAACCTTTGGATAAAAGTAATTATATAAGTCACAGGAAAAAGACGGCGGTGTATGAAGATTTACTAATCAATAGATAGAAAAAGAGTAAATAAATACAAATATACACATATTTATAAATAATAATCACAGCCCAGCTAATTACTTGTTACTTAATAACCTAACCTCCGGTTAAAAAAACCGACCTCAAAAGTCATTTATCCCTTAGTTTGCCATCCTTACAGGTAGAATATTTTCTTGAAATTTAAATGGAACCGTATCTGAGGTACCTTCTTTCCAACAAAAAATAGAATCGTCAAAATTGGTTCACAAATGGCGGAGGTATCGCGTAACATACATACAAAAAAAACATACAGACGGACCGAGAACCTCCTTCTTTTTGAAGTCGGTTAAATATATAGTATTATTATTATAAACAAATGGCTACCTACATCTATACAATAAAACGCTTATTATATTTTAAAAATTTTCAAAAACAAAGGCAAATAATTTTCATGTACAGACTGAGAAAGCTGACCCCCAAACCGTTAATTTGATTTTAACTAGATCTGTGTGAAAAAGGTGTTTATCAAAGTAAACCTTTTTTTTTTAAGCCAATTTGATCTTGGATTAAAACTTAAAGTTCTGTTGAATGCGTAAGAAGGCTCTTAGAACCAAAAGGTCGGTTAGGGGTCAGATATCTGAAGGCACCGTCTGTACGTGCAAAGATTGAGGATTTGTATTATATAAGTTGCAAATTGTGTATAATATAGGTGACTTCGTATCGAATTTAGTTCTTCGAAGAGGTGGGCAAAACGGTTGAATTTTTTAATTGACATTTTTAAATTTTCTGAGTTTTTCACAGAAACAGTGCTACATTACATTCATGAAGCTATCTCTATCTATCTGTAATTATATGTGGAATTAAAAAGTTATCATTGTTTTGTATTTTACTGTCAGACTTTACGATAATTTATTCATTGATTAGCCAATCATAACGTCCAGTCCGCGCCTAATATATTCCCTGGTAATCCAATCTTAACTACCACTTCGTCAGTGTCGAAATTTGGTGTGGAGTTTATGTCTATGACTTTGAAAACCATAATCGTTTTGAAGATCCCCTGTCCCCCCTCCCCCGAGTCTCAAGACGGCGGAGTGAAAACTAATTGCCGCGAAGACAAATACGTACAACTATAATCTCAAACTAATGACATATGTCACGCCTAAAGTTACCACGTATTATATGTACGTGGAAACTCACTCCGAATCTTTTATATAACGCTGTTCCCAATAATATACGTTTACACTACAATGTTAAAAGTACATATGTATGAATTTGTAAGTTAAGGAAAGTGCCTATTAGGTAAATTAGCATTTTTTATGATGTCATAAAACAACGAGTTACAGTACCAGAACGTGTTATACTTCGAGCTTTAGGAAAAGACGATCGGCTGATTTCGGATTTGTAGAGCAGCGTCTCTGTCACTCATACCTATGTGAGAGTAGCAGCAGAGCTCCTTGTGAAAGTTTGTCCAGGGAATTATGCCACCTAGCCTATTTCTGTCGTTAAGCAGTAATGTGAGCATCTTTGCGATTTAAAACTCTGAGCGGCACAGCCACTATTATGGAAAGGGGTGTCGCTTACCAACAGGTGCACGACTAGTTGATCCCGTCACTTGGTATCTTAAAAAAAAAATCATTTTTTCGCTAATATATTGGTCGTGTGCCGAAAACAGCGCTCTACAATTCTAATATTAATATTAACTAACGGTCAGGTTTGTTTTCTGTAATAATGTTTAATTGTTACAAAAGCTACTGCAACATTTTCTATATGTAACAAAACACGTCTAGTTCGTCTGTATTGGTGAATCTAAAGTCGCGGCGGCGTTACAAAGTGTAACTGAGAAATGTTTCTTGTCTCGCTTGCTCCTTAGTAGTTGGGTTATAAGAAGAAGGCCAGATAGTGTTTATTCAGTGGCAATTATGAAATAAGTGCCGTTTATGGCTCTTTTTTCATTACAATATCTAAAGCTTCTTATACACTCGTGAAATATTTTGAGGTGCTATTTATTGGTTCAATATTGAACTATGTACTTGAAAGTAGTGCCCGATACCTATTCATCAATTTATTATTATACGTATTATACGTCTCACTGTTGGGCACGGGACTCCTCTAAAGAGAGGGTTTAGTTTAGTGTAACACAACAAGCCAATGTAAATTGGGGACTTCGCACGTTTTCCTTCCACATTAATGAGAGAAATTCTAAACATTAAGAAATAAATGTACGTAACTTAGATTTAAAGTCGTAGGTGCAAACCGCTATAGAAACTCGAACTGTCAACCCCTCAATTGAGAAGCAACCTTTCTTCCACTGAGCTACCAATGCTCATGGCGTTGTTAACGTATCTGTCAAATTATCATCAATTATCAAATTGTAGACATAAAACTGATTGAGGACAGCCTGCTGAGGATGTAATTCATCTACATTAAAACATCGTTTTCATAAAAAAAACAAACAATTTAAAGGTGCGCGAGTAAAAAATACGGATGATCAAGACACGTAGTTGTAAAATGGACAGGTTTACTATATAGTACGTTACTCGATTAAGGTACTCAAATGGATAGAACAATTCGATTTAGGAAGCATTCCCGGGTCGACTTGCAGCGGTTTGAATGCGAGCATGCGTGTATTACAATTTGTCAGGCTGTTGGACTAATCGATTGTGCGATTGTGCTATTTCTCGTCTCTTTTATACTCTTATTACTTACACGTATATCGGGTACTTACATAGCAACGCACACGGGGGTAACAAAAAACTATGATTTTCTTACTTACGTACTTTGTTGGCTCAGCGATTCGAAGTGGATCTTGCCCGCCGGCGCTAAGATGTGCTACTCTTCTCTCTTCTGTGCCTCTTGTTGTCAATCGGGTACACACTCACACTCATACTCGACATAGTTTTTGTGGACTTGGCCGATCCAGCGATATCTAAGACGTCCAATCGGTCTTATGCCAATCGGTTGCCCCAGATACCTCTACACCGCACGACGTGACCAACCCTGCGAAGTCGGGCTGATTTGGTTTCTCCTGTGAAAGTCGGGCTGATTTGGTTTCTCTCATGAAAGTTACGATTTTCAATGAAATGTAAT